AAGATTCCACTAGGCCATATCTTCACTATTACTTGAGGGATTCTAGCATGTAATGGGTCTACGAGTATCTACAGCTCACAAATAAGCTATATAATGAATCAGTTTCCACTGGTAGGCCTTAGTAAATGACTACAGGCCTTACTTCACTCGACCCCAATGTGTTTCCACAACACGCGCGAGCGGCCGCGGGGGCCGGACCCCGAGGCCCCGTCCGAGTGGGAACCGGAGCGGTCGGAGCCGCGGCTGGAATGGCGGGCCCGGGCGGCGCCGTCCGCCTGCGCCTTGACGGTAGCCTTCTGGATCTGGGCCCGGATCAAGTTGGTCGTATCGCGCTCGAGGTCGGTGGTGTAGCGGGCCGCCGATCCCGCCAACTGAATGTTGGTCTGGAGGGACTTGTACGCCTCGGAGAGGGGCGTATTGGCGTGGGCGGCCTGCGTCCTCCGAACAGCCAAGGTAGAGACCGCGAGGTTGGTGCACTGGGCGTAGAGGGAGACGATGGGCGCGAAGGCCGCGCGGACGGCAGCGGGGACCTCCGGGCACGCCGCCAAGGCGATGAGGCGGAGCTGCAGATCGTAGAGGAAGGAGACGATCGGCGCCCAATTGGCGTACTCCGCGAAGTAGCCCGAGCGGGGGCCCAAGGCCTGGGCAAGATGTTGACCGTCGGCGGTGTCAAGGACGTCGAACCACTGGCCGAACGCCGCGGGGGGCCGAGGCACCGGATTCCGCGGAGAAGGGGCGATGTTGGCGCCCGAGCGGAGAACCAGGAGCTGGGAGAGCGAAGGATCCTGCGGGGCCCCGAACTGCTGGGCCAAAGCCGCAAGGCGACGGGACGAGTCTTCGGCGGCCGCGGCCGCGATTGCCTCGGCCGTCTGGGGTTCCGCGGGTGCCGAAGAGGCAGCCCCGGCGGATCGAGTGAGGAGAGCCTGGAGCGCCGCCACCAAAGCCTCGGGGCTGAGGGTGGGCTCCTCGGGCATGGGGGAGCGAGGCGATAGCCGGAAAGCTCCGAAGGGGTGCAAAACACGAGCCGGAGGCTCGGCGCAATAGATCCTTTCGAAGGATCGAAGCAATGTTCCCGATTGGGACCGGGCTCGCTGCAACAAGAGCGGTTGGAGCGAGAAAACAAAGTGCAGTCTGATGGCGCGTCGCCTCCTTAGGCCTCGGCGCCGCCAAACAGTTCCCGAACGAGCCGAAACCCGGCCCCAAGGACCGTTGCCTGCCTTGGGGCCCCAGCAGCAGCATGTTCCCGCGCAAACTGGGCGCCCTGCTGACAGAACACTGTCGGGTAGCAATTTTTTCGCCCGCCCATCTTCGGGCCTCCCGTAAACTAGCTTACTGGACGTAACCATCCCTTCAGTCTCATTAAGGTGCAACTCGTTCGGGCTGACGCATCATACGCACGCATATCTGGGGGGGGGAGCGGCAAGGGGACAGTTGCAGTATCTCATGCCGAGGCTGCCGTTCGCCCCAGCAGCAGCGACCAATCTTTGGCGCCGCTTGCCCCAAAACCGGGTCGTCGAGTCGCTGACGGCGGTGGGGAGCCGGCGGGGGACCGTCAGAGCAATGGCAACCACGGCAGAAGGGGTGAATGGCTGCCAAACTGCCTGTTGGGGTTGCCTGCCTGGTGGATGGTCATGCGCCCATTGGGGGAAACACTTTCACAGCCTCGGAGCCTGGGCTTCGATTCGAAGTCGTGGCGCCTCGCGTTCCCTTGGCGAATCCTCATGGCCGCAAACAGCTTCCGCTGTTTTGCGGCGATGTGCCCTGGTTGCCTTGATCAGCGCAGGGGTTTTCCTGTCGGAGAGGCTTCAGCGAGACTCTCTGCGCGTTGGCCCGACGGGCCCAAGCGCTCCGTACGCTGTTGAAGTAACTGCGCTGGCTGCTGCACTGCACAGGATCCGCCGCCCAAGCAGAGGGTTGCCGTTGGGCAGATGACGTCCGTGGGCCACCTGGAGACGAATTACTCCGTATGCCGGGATCTGGCCTTGCAGGCGGCCAACGCCAATTGCAGAATGCTGTTCCTGCCCGAGTGCTTCTCCCTTCTGGGTGATCACCACAGTGTGTCCATCGAAAAGGCCGAATCTCTTGACGGCCCCGCCATGGCACGCTACACGGCCCTTGCCAAAGAGTTGGGAATTTGGCTGTCGCTGGGAGGATTCCAGGTGTGAGACTGTGTATGCAGACCCGGAGGTGAGGAGGCATTTCTGAGAGGGGCCCCGTACTGAACTACACGCGGGCTGCTGGGGGCAATCTGCTGATTGGAAGGAACGATTCGCGCTTCACTTATTATTTGCTGTGCTTTGCACTTGGCGATTGCAGCGGTAATGTGTGATAGAAAATCATCACCAATGTCTGAATGCTGGCGGTTATCGGCTGCTGCTATCGTGGCCGATGTGCTGTTGCAACAACTCTGGGATAAACCCTAAATGCCTGACCGCATCCCCTCCCCAATGCTGCTGATTGTGCCAACGATTCAGGAGACTGGCCCTGACAAGGATCACATCTACAACACACATGTGATCGTGAGCGACAAAGGGGAGATCGTTGCGAAGTATCGGAAGATCCATTTGTTCAATGTTGACATCCCAGGAGGGCCCATGCTGCTGGAGAGCCGATTTACAGCTGCGGGCGAAGAGCTTGTGACTTGCGACGCTCCAGTGGGGAGGCTGGGCCTGACGGTGTGCTACGACTTGAGGTTCCCTGAATTGTACCAGAAGCTGAGATTTGAACATGGTGCTGACATTTTGCTGGTGAGCAGTGTCCACAGGCTTCTGTCTCATCTGGTGTTATAATTGTTGTTCACATGTGTGAAGGGAGGATCGAAGGGAAAAGCATGTCACTCTGTAGATGGAAATATTGTTCAGACTCTAGGATCCATCAACGCTCGTCAAATTTCCTTCTGCAATACACATGCTGAAGGTGGGTAGCCTGCCTTCCTTTCTGGCACAACAACAGCACAACTGCTGCACAAGGAAGTTCAGGGTGTTGGATGCAACCGCTGCGGTTTCTACGTGCAGGCAAGCAAATAGAAATTGTGCAGTATCCTTGTGTTGTTTGAAGTGCAAGGATTTAATGGTAGCTCCACATAGATAATCTCTAAGTAACTTCATTGCATGGGCATGGGATCACTGGCGCGGGTTGGTCTCAAGCCCTTTTGGATGAAGGGTTCTCGTTGGTGTTTGAGATTCAAGTGTAGCTGAGGGAATTTTGCTTTTGCAAATCTACCCAGTGATCAGTTGAGCAGCTTTAGCTTGAAGCTTTCAAGCGTACCCATGCTCAAAAGATAAGTCCAATGCGAGGATGTGGTTGTACGAGCCTGCCAGGATGGCTTCTGTGAGTTCATGCACATGTTCCTGCAGCCACCAGCCGTGCACTGCCCGCTTTTGGTATGGGAGCATTGCTAAAATGAAGTGCGACCAAGACCCTGCTATTTTCACTCTGTTGTTGTGGGCTCACGATGGGCATACGAGTACTACATGACGCTGAAATTGTGCACAAACAAAACACTGGTATTCCTGACGTCCCTTGTGGACAAACGGCCAAAGCTTTGCCAAACGTCCGACAGATGTAATGGACAAGGCAAGCTTTATGTTGCAGATCCCGTCTGCGTTCACAAAACCCACCGGTGAGGCTCACTGGGAAGTGCTGCTGCGGGCAAGGGCGGTCGAGTGCCAATGCTACGTAATAGCTGCTGCACAGGCTGGAAAGCACAACGACAAGAGGGAGAGCTATGGACACTCGATGATAATCGATCCTTGGGGCGCCATTGTCGCGAAGCTGGAGGACCCGTTGGCAACAGGGATAGCAGTTGCAGATGTAGATCTGGGCTACGTCAATAGATTGAGGGCTACAATGCCAATTGAGGGGCACCGGGAAATGGGGCTGAAGGCCCTCAGCGGCATGCGACAGTGACGATGGGATGTGCGCCCTGAAACATGGAGCATACTGGAGAACGGGAAACATTGGCAGCGTCTTTGGGTCAGCAGCGAGGACTGGAGGGGCTCTGTAGATCGTGGGGCTGGTGTGGCAGTCTGTTTATTGGGTGAGATGGGTACTCCGTGTCTCGCGTTGGGCTTCCAGGCCCTGCAGTTTTGACGCCTTAGTGTGTCTTCCCCAAATGCATACCCATCGGGGATGAATTGCCGATTTGTGGTTTGAAAGGGGTGTGTTGGTTCCTGGTCAAGTCATCGATCAATCTCTGATGCAGGTCTAAAGACGGTTTCGGAAGAACTCTGCCAGTTGTTCCACGCTTGGAGCCCGCAGCGACCCCCCACACCAGATATTGACATGTTGGCAGTTTGTTCTATTTGAGTGTCGAATCAGAGCGCCGTAAGTGGATGTGTCGCTAAAATCGTGTTCGAAGATGGCGAGGGCAGAGAGGGCGTCAGGCAGCACCCTCGCGAGTGAGGCCCTGCCACAGGCGCAGGGAGCGATCTGAGATCCAAAACGACCGTCAGCCCTGCTTTTCGCGATCTTTTCAAGCCAAAGGGTGTTTCAAAACGTGCAGTCCTTGGAAAAAGGGGACTCTGCGCTGGAGTCGGAACAGCAAGAACAACATGCAGCCACGGGCACAAGACCACAAAAGGTTCACTCCAACGACGAGAAAAATCCTTTCCTCTGTCACCACGGATGGCTTATTCACCAGCAACCCAGCAAAGCAAAATCTTCCCCAGGCCTCCGCCACATACCCTACAAGGCAAAAACACACACGCAAGCAACTGCCACTTGGGTGCACGGCATTATGATCAGTTGAACCCGGGCGACCACGCCCGCCCAGGGTGGCAGACGTTGTGAACACGCCAACTGCCCGTGGGGTTCCCACAGAGTGAACCCAGCTTCATTCCACGCACCGCAATAGGGGTGCGACCAGTCCGCGGCGCAAGCATGTCCCTACCCACCTAAGTCCATCGATATCTGCATCAGCACGGCGACCTGGCGCGACATGACAGGGCGCAACCTGCCAGTCTCTCCCTCATGTCGACCAACCATGGCAGTTTCCAACTTGGAACTTCCCAACGCGTATGAAAGCATGCAGACGGCAAGCAAGCCTTGCCCACGCAACCCACAGGCACATTCGCTCAACTAGTTGAACGGATTCAGCGTGCAAACGACCACAACGGAGCAAACTCTGAGACCTGACTTTCGCGTCCTGCAGGCGAGTTAAGGTGGCAATGGCCACTGCCAGCAGCAATGCGATGCGGGAGTTTTCATACTTCTAATCAAGCTACCTTCTAAGCGCGGGACACTCGCGCACACCCACTATTCCTGTGTGCCCACACACGGATCAGCTCTCGTGAAACAAGTCCGACCTCAGCAGAAATTTCCTAACAGCCCCAGGTTGTGGGAGCCCAGTGAATTAGACAGCCCTGCTCTATGCCAATGGTTCCTTGCATCACTGCTACAGAGTTTGGTGCTTTGAATGCACTCACTGCCCACAACATAAATCTTAGATTACAACAGCACTGCCAATTCGACTATTGGCTTTCCTTTCAGGCTATTCACCAGTTCCCCACTTTGCTGTGCTTCCAACTGTTACTCCACACGACAACCTCCTGGGGACAAGATAATAAATAGTACAAGTGCCATCGTCCATTCCACAACACAACACATTCAAAGAATGCACAAAGCTCGCCTAAGAGCATGGCCTCCACCAGATGGCAGCACCACATAACGATACTGAAAAAATGCCTAACAGCACCCAACGCTGCAAATCAAAACCAACGTCCCTTCTCCAAAACTCCACGCTTCCAAACCATGGCGCAAACAGTAAGCACCCCAGCACTTCTGCTTCTGTACCTAAAGCCTGAAATCTGAAGGGCAAGCCACCATTAGCCATTCTTCCCTAGACCTAAGGCTTGGTAAATTCCATGAACAGGTGCGTACAGTGCATTGAGCACTGGCTGGACCCAGTCCCTAGATGACAAGAACACACACACAAGGTCAGTACAGGCTGGGCTGGATGCAGTATCGAACAGGACAACAGGACCCAGAAAAAGAAAAGGAAAAAGGGCGGGGGGAGTAATATTGCGGTGATGTGACAGGCCAACAATCAGATGCAAAACCACCTCAACATGCCCACTTTCATGTGCTTTGCAGCTGATGATGCTCAACAACAACCCTTACTACAGCCATACCAGAAGGACGCCTGATCGTCTGGCACATGGAAAAGCGCAGATGTTGAGTGCAGACGTGACCCACTTGGGATGTCCCTGAGCTAACTTCTCAAGACCAACTGGAGAGGGAATAAATGCGACAGCTGCTGTACATGAAGCTTCTCTGTAGAACTTCGGAACCCAGCTGCATTGTTCACCTCACAATGCTCCGAACGACGCCTATCGCGACTCTCAATTAAAGACAACCCGTCTGCTGAACACGAAGACATCTCCATAAATTGCAACACATACTACTGGGCCCTCAAGCAGAGCCAGCACTCACCCATTAGGCTGCACAGCAGCTCCATCTCGTCTGCCTTTGGTGGTCCGCCCGCCATAGTGCCACTGGTCGTCCATCCTCAGGACAATATTCACTCGCCGGTGCAGAGGAGACCTGGGCGGGTTCATCCCAGAGGCCTCAAAATCGGCAGATTTCCTCCTGGTCCTCACGGCCAAGCATGGCTTTGACATCCAGCCCTTGTCCAACTGCAGGGGGAGGTCTACTGCTCGGCGATGGGTGCGGCTGACAGGCCCCAGTTCAACGGCCTTCCTTGGTTCAGACATCTCCACCCTGCAAGGGCGCTGTACAGAGGAAGCGACACCCAGGGGCACGGGGGCTATCTCAGTCTCAGTGTCCCCGCTGCTAATCTCACACACAACGTCTGCGGCAGGATGGACATCGTGAGGGGCAGGACTAGGTGCCAAGCTCACAATGCCATCGTCATTGCAGACTGACGCAGAAGGCGAAATGACACAAAGATCCCTTGCCGTCACCATGACCACATCACAACCGTCTTCCTCTTCTTCAACCGCCGCTGGACTGGGGCCATCGCAAGGCACACTCTCCGCCACCACTGGACTGGGGCCATCGCAAGGCACAATCTCTGTGTCTTCACAAGGCGCCGGACTGGGGCCATCGCAAGGCACGCTATCTGTGTTTTCACAGGACGGCTTCAAGTCGGCAGGCTGTGACTGACCACCACCTTCGCAGGGCGCGTCATCAACAGTCCCTTGGCACTTAACATCATCAGCATCCTCATCAGATATTTCTGGGCAAGTGCCATCACCCTCGACCGCCTCCCAGTTGGCATGGCCAACAGAACTGATTGGGCTGTGAGCCCGGCCGTCGTCCACAGTGTCATCCTCACTGTATGAATACGACAATTCACTGGCAACGATGGGATGCCCCACACATGTGGTTTGATAGTCCTCCAGAGCACCTTTTGCAACCTCATCAGCAACACAATCCACCAATGCTCTGTCCTCTTCCATCGTCTTCGCGTCTCTGGCCACATCCACTTTGCCTTGCTCACGGTTCACCTCCCCATCCAGCCTGTCCTCCTGCAGCCAGCTTGACACTGTCTTCTCCGCCGTTGTGCCATCCCTCGCTTCCTCATTCATCCTGTGGACAGAAACCATGAGCTTCTGCAGTGCTGCCTCCATTCCAGGGCCATCGCATGCACCCTCTGCACCCTCTCCGTGCACACCATCCATGAGCTCATCCCAACCTCCCGATCGCCCTGACGACCGCGACAGCAACGACAGCCTAGCAGCTGTCTTTCTATCATAAGGACTGTTCACATCATCTTCTGCGCTTCTGGATGTCATGCTGGAACGGGTCATCAGCTTTTGGAGAAGCGTAGAGGCTTCATCTCTTTGGCTTTCCACACTTGGCGACCCCGTCATTGCTGACCTTGCCGACGTGTTGGAGGCCTGCAAGTACGACCTGCGACCCTCTTGAACGCTTGGCGTGCGCGGCGCGCTTTGATCACTCATCAAATTCTGCAACACAACTTCCGCCTCTTCCAACACATAGTCATCTGAAGATGAGTCAATGTCCATCTGATCGGCCATGTACTTCCCCTTGCTCTCATTCACATGAATGACTGGGCAACCCTCGTTTTCGGAAACCCCACTGTGGTCGTTCTTGTTGGCTGCTGGTGGGTAGGCCCTTGTCCGTTCACTCTCAGTGTCGGAATCAGAATCCAGCCATGTTGGGTTGAATCCCGTCATGTATGAAAACGGGAACTGCTTTTCAGGCAACACAATCTCTTCATCAGATGAGCTGTCCTCTACATCCAAGTTCACAGGAGTAGCCCTTGGTTGCGAGTCCAGCAATTCACTCGCATACTGCATTGCAGCTATGCTCTCAGGCGTCCTGCTACGGAATCCACCAGAAGACCTCGAAAACAAATCACTAGCACCTGTCATTGACTGGCGATCGTCCCGGAAACCCACAGCTCCATGTGGCAGGGCAGGCTCCTCAGCCATGCATGGATGCTTCAAGCCAACCTCTTCCGCATGAGGAGCTGCATATTCATAATGTACAAAGTCCTCCTCTTCGTCCATGGGTGTCTGGCCCTGGACATCGGCTACACTCCCAACGACCGTTCCAACAGGCACATCCAAATTTCCATCCTTGCAGTCCATCAGACTGTGGCTCTTGATGCTTGCAGGTCCACCTTTTTGGCTACTCGATCTGGGGACGTTGGCTACCTTAGAACTGCCCAACTTCTGCTGCCCAGCATCGTGTATTGGTGCCATGGGCGATTGGTGTTGTTCAGGAAGGAGGCTCGTGCGCTCCTTGCACCCTGGTTCCTTATCATTCTGTTGACCTGCATCCATGCAGACCTCCATCCCTGCATCCACTGTCCCCTTCCCCTCGTGCTCCCAATCGGTACTGCCACCACAATTTTCCTCACCCAAGGTTTCCCCACCCTCACCCTGCCCAAGTTCATTCTCTGAATGCGCATCCCTACAGTTCGCTGTAGATTCTTGTTGTCTTGGCTTATACCCGAAATTCTTTGCGCGGACTACTCCATCATTTCCATCATCCCGACTGGTCTCATCGTTGCCATCTTTCTCCACTCTTTTCAATCTTCGCGGCTGATACCCAAAATTGCTAACTGGCTTTGCGCGATTCCGCTCTGTTGGGCCAGTGGGGCTTGCACTCCTGCGACCTGTGTTGTGCTGTTGGGCCTGATAGCCAAACGTGCTCTTCGATCTCGTCTCGTTTTGAAGCGGCTGCCAGCCTGGTTCTGTGCTCGCACTCCGAACGTGGCCCTGTTGTTTCTCATGGCCAGGCCTCTTTCCAGGCGCCGCCACCTCGTTTGTGTCTGCACTGCCTGTCCGTCTTGAGCCTGGTGGCAAGGGCAGCCGGGGCTGGAAACCAAAGCTGCTGTGTCGCCCCGAGCCCTCACTCTCGTCCCCTGACAGGCTGGTGCCAACAGCAGACGCGGAGGCGGTGGGGGCACTTCGAAGCCGCTCAGGAGCATAGGGTTCGCTCTCCATCGTCGCCAACCCAACCCTTCACAGACCTCCTCTCCTCTCACAGCAGTCCAGCAGCTGGGTGTTCTGGCCTTGGGGCCTGCGCAACCACAGCACTTGCTGCTCAGCCAACCAGCAAACCCGCACAAGAATAAGACAACAGCCTGCAGCAACGCGAAACTGGGAGACCAGGAGCGATGCATCGTTGTTGTTCAGCAAACCTGCCCCAACTAAGAAAGGCGATCCCTAGTGCAGCGCACACCAAGCGCAATCTATACCTGCAGGGACATTTCCAGCGCATTTTGTGGATCTTCCTCTATCAGAAACCATTCCACGGTTCGCACTCCGCTTTCCGGCACACCTGTGTGCGAGTTCGCCAACTATCTACCCCTTAGTGTTCGCTTATTGACTGTCTCAGCGCGACAGCAGCGATGACGGCATCACCTTGGGGCCCGTGCGCCCTCGCAGGCGGGCCGACACAAGCGAGGGCCGTCCGCAACTGCGCATGCGGCGCACGCAGCAACAGGCTCACCAAAAAGAATGCCACCCTGAAAAGCGTGTGACACCGCCGCACCGCCAGCTGCCGCCGCGCGCCGACCAACCTCCGACGCCAGGAAGCAAACACATTTCAAGAAAACTCCGCAGCAACGCCAATCCCGAATTTCGCCGACAATGGCCTTGACTAGGGAGCCACGGGAACGCCTCGTCGCCAGGCAAACCACCAGATTAAGCGATTGCGGAAGGAGGAAGCCGCATATTCATCGAAGCTCCATTCTCCAATACGGCGGCCTTTGGCTCGCAAAAAACGTACAGCCTCTCCCAACGCGACTGCCTACAGCAAGCGCGGGAGCGCCCCAGGCCCGCGGTCGGCCCAGCGCGCATCAGCGTTGGCAAACACCGTCAGTCTCCTTCGATCAAACTTGCGGCAGCCCAACGCTTTCCAAACCCCGATCGTTCAGCCGGCAGGGGAGCCGCGCAGGGGCCCAGGTGGGGCCCGGCCGCGCCGCCCGGATCCCGGGGCGAAACATCGACCTCGACTTCAGCCGCGTCGCCGGGCCGCCGCATGCGCCGCCCGACAGCGCGGCGCCCCTCGAGACGTCTCGGAACGCCGATGCGGCAGCTGCAGTCCCGGACCTCCGGCGGCGCCGGCCACGGTCGAGACGAGGGGCATCGCCGCGGGGCGCACGATCCCGCGGTCAATCGCGAGAATCCGAATTGAGTGACCCCCACCTGGGGCCGCCTCCCAAGACACGGCGCCCCTGCCCACCTGGCGCAAAACCGCGGCCGGCAACTGGGCGGCTCTGTCGCGCTGCCGCCGCCTCTCCCTGCGTCCTCCCTTCCTTGCACAGTGCTGCCTCGCTAGCTTTGTGATTGTGTTGCCTCAATGGCTCCCGATGGCAAGCGGGCCCTGCAGCGGGGCGGCCCTCGGCGAGTGGGGCGTGAGGGTTGGGGCGCTGTGGCCGCAAATCGAAGGAGTCCGTCCAGCGGGGCGTCAGAGATCATTTTAAACCGAAAGAAGTGGCCCCGCCGGCCGCCCTGTCTCACTGCGACGCAGATCAGGGCGCCGTTGTAGTTATACGGTAGGGACCGTGGTGCCGTGCTGTGGGCGTGGCAAACTGGCCAGACCCTGCCGCGGATTGAACGGGGAGCTGACGTGTGGGCTGAGGTTGGGAACGCATCCGCGTGCGCCGCGTGCGCACCGCCGCTAACTTAAAAGAGCGCCAAAACAAAGTTGGTCCTTCTCAACAAATTCCTGCGAAAAGTCCTGCAAGCAGGGCACTGTTCTGCGGAAACCTTGGCACATTCCCGAAGAAAGCTGATCCTTGCGCGCCTGAAGGGCGAGTCGCTGAACCGTTTCAGGCTGAAGCTGGCACAGCGGTCGCTTTTGGGTGCTGCTTAGAAATGGAGTTGCAATCATGGGAAGTTCCAATTTGGAGCAGGCTCCACGGATGCTGCCGACATCTGGTGGTCTCTCCGGAGTACTGCGCGACCACATGGCAGATAAACATCCTGGGGGCATACGATCCTTGGGGCGTTTGGTGAACTGCCTTTTTTCTCACTTGTTTGGCTGCTGTCAAAATCTCACAGAACCGCTGAAGGCGCTGCCTCTCCCCTGGAGGTCCTGCGCGTTCACCCCCCACCATCCCTGTCCCCCGACCTCCAAACTAACCCATCGGTGCAGCGCGGCCAAGCCATTGGCCCCACAGCGCCTCGACCGCCGCAATCCCTGCAGGACGCCCGCCCTGGTGCGCCCCGTTGTGGGCAAGGCGCCCACGCAAAAAGGGACACTCCGTAAACAAATCAAATCGCTCGCTCCGGCAGGGATGCAAGCGGCGGGGGCGAAGCGCGGCGCGCGCGGATGCTCGAAGCTCAGGCCCCTTGCCAGGCATGCGCCCAACCCTACGGCGCAGCCGAGCCCGCCATCCCATTCTTCGCGCTTGGTTGCCGGCCCCTGGGGTCGACAGCTGAGCACGGGAAGGCAGGGGCTGATGGGAGGATCGCCATTCAAAACCGCCCTGAGATCTCAAGTCCTGGGGGTGCCATATCGACCATGCCGATGTCCGCTGGAGCCGTGCAAGGCGAAGGAGTCCCGCACCAGCAGCGAGGCCGCCATGGCGAGCGCGGGCGGCGACGAGGACGACGGGCAGCCCGGGTTTCTGGACAAGATTTCCAAGATGCTGAGGGACTTCGGGATTGGCAGGAGGAGCATCTGGGAGGGCGGTGTTGGGGCGTTCGTGTTGGGCGGGGCAGGTGAGATTGGCGGCAGTCTCACTGGCAAGGAATTGTGAAGGCCAAGGCAATGAAGCAGGGGGGTGGAGGGCAGCTCGATCTTGGCATGGACGTTGTTTCAGAGGCAGCATCGGGGGCCCGAAGCGCTTAGGGCCGTTGTGAATGCCTGCAACGTTGTTTCGAGTGCTGAGCCAGTTGAGGCAGGAGAACGATCCTATTCGACCACGTTTGACATCTGGCGTACAGCTGCTGTGAACGCGAGAGCCTGCCAGTTTCCAGCAGACATGGGCACATGGGTGGGACGGCCAATGCCCAGAGTGCATTTGTCAATTTCGTGTTGGTGGTAATTGGTTGTGCATCAGCGTGCTGTTGAAAATGAAACCGTCATTGACAATCACCAGCATGAACTGTAACACAAGGTCACATGTGCTTGGTTGGCTTGCAGTTTTGACGTTCTGGTTGCTCTCTTGGGCACGGGGGTCACAATTAAGGAAGGGCCGTCCCTATCAGGTGTGTGAGACGCAGCGAAGAGTGCAGTTCTCCTTCCTGGCAGTGACATAGACATCTGTCACCATGAGAATTGGCAGCCCTCAGTCGTTGCTGCACACGATTACACTTGGTGGAATTAGGAGGAGAACATGGTGCATTTGTGGATAGACGTGTGCTCGTCATCTCCTGAATTGTGCCATGGTAGTGCTTTGCCATTTTGTGGCTGATGGCAGGGCATACAATCTCTGCCTTTGCCATGTGCAACCAAGTTTCCAGTAGGTACCATGCCTCTTGCAGTCTTGTCTCCAGCCACCAGGTGCTGCAGATCCACATTGTCGCACTGATGGTGAGGAAGAAAAGTGAATTGTTCAAGCACATGTGTTGTGCAGGCGACAGTGGTATTTCCACAGGCGTGTGGCATCACTGTGGGTACTCCTGTAAGGGTGAGTTGCAATTGGGCCACTCAAGGATGTGAATCCAGAACTCTGTGAGTTAGCAGCAGAGTACACAGCAAGCTCGGACCAATAGTGAGCAGGCACACCCAAATTTGTGAGTACTTTGGGCAGTTTTGCACAACTTGTTTTCAAGGAAGTACCTAAGTCTTTTGCTTGCTTGCTGTTGTTGTTCCACGTGTGTACTAGCGGTAGAGAGTGCTCCCTTTTGACAGCACTGAGCATTCAAGAGCATCGCTATTTCACCTTCCGTGTGTTCCCTTGGCTTGGCGAGCCTCACTATTGTATTTTATTGTTCTTAGTTGACATTGAGCATTCCAACCAGGCGAGTTGGGGCACAACGGTCTGTATTGCTTGGAGGACCTATGTTGACATGTTGAACTGCATTTCCAAAATTGCAGATCTGAGGAGCCTTCAAAGCGGTGAGGATCGCATTCATTCCTGTGGAAACATAGGAATTCCTATCCTAGCGATTGCACAGTCCAGAGCTTCTGACAACAGTGTGTTTTCCACAGATACGAGGGGTGCCAGTTGGGAGTGCCCTTAATGTCACACCAAGATTGGATGGTGTCGATGTGCAAATTGAGGTATGTTGATGAGTGACGCATCACGCTTTTGGGCTGGTGGCTGCAGAATGTCTCTATTGCTATCGATCGTGCGATTGCTGACTGCAACACGTTCCTGGTGCTTGATAGGTGAAGGATGATGGCATCGTCATACCCTTGAACTCAGTGGTGGAGGCCAACCAGTCAGGTCTGATTGCAGAGCCTTTTGTTGACGTGACGCCACAGCTTCCCCTGCCTGACTTTGAGGTATGGATTGATCGAATTTAGGTTTGCTCATTGATTTGGTTGCAAGTCAGTTTATGCACATCTGCACATTTGCTTGGGGCGATGAGCTGAGGGTATAACACCCATGGTAGGTTTTGCAAGACCATCAGACTAGGATCGGGGTGTCTCAGAGGTTGAATTTTTTGTGCCAGGAAACAGGGTACAGGCACAATGGCATGGGATAAGGGCATGTGCACTGGCAAACTGAAGTGGCAGTAGATTGGATCTGTGGTTGCATTGTTCAGGGCATGTGGCAGACTTGTGGTATCAAGGGGGGAAGCAGCATGTCACACCCCACAATGTTCTGTTCATTTGCCCTGAAAAATTTTGAACTAATGTCTGTGCCATGCTGTGCTGCTGCAGGCAGGTCCCCTGAGTTCTGACTGTGACAAGGATGGCAAGATCGTTTGTCATCGAGGAAGGATTCAGGGGGAACAAGGTGTGTTGCCTAAACAGGTGTTTGCATTGATGTCACGAATGAATAGATGCACGCCGCAACAATGTTCACATCAGTTTGCAAGCCAGTGCATGATGGAGCTTCATGTTCTCCAAGGTCAAATCCAGCCGTCTTGAGCTCACTCCAGAAACCAGATTTAGTGCTGTCACAGCCTTCTGCCAGCGACATGCCACTGCATCCATGCTTACTTCGAAATCAGCATTGTGTTGGATCTGTGGTGCAAAAGCAGTGAGAGGCAACAAGGACATGTGCATTGACCTGTCTACCTCTCGTACTCAGTCATCGCAGATGCTGTGTCTGTGGCTGCTTGGACATGGCACTCTACAGTGAAAAATGCACGATGGCGCAGACCTCATCGGTCACAAGTGACCAGCAAAGTGGATATTTGCTGCTGTGTGTTGAAACCCTGCAAGCAACATAGGGCACATCGCGTTCATAACCAGCTTGGTATCGAAGTTTTGTGGCCTCCATTCACCAACTTTGTGGGCTGCTGAATGTCTGCAGGCGTCAGTCTTGACGACTTGGTGTACATCTGCACCAAACTTGCCCGCCAGATGGACGCCGATGGTGTGGATTCCATGTTTAAGGCAGCTGAAAGCTTGTCAGAGGCACTGGATATTGCCCAGCCTCTCATATTGCAGGTGAGTCCAGTCCCTACGAGGAGTGTCTCACGGAGCCATTTTCAACGTGGCGGCCTTGTACCTCGTATTTCAGCTGTCCTTGCTGGCGCGCTTGCAGCAGTCGCGCAGCTGCAGCACGAGCAAGTGAGAATGAGAACAGCTGTTCACTTCCCATCCCCATTTCTGATGTCTGCTGCAGCCCCAGGAAAGGATGCTGCAGGCTGTCAGCTGCCAGGCATGTTGTCGTTGATGATCAACATCATATTGGCTGGCTTCACATGTATGTCTATCTTTGATCGCAGAATCGTGCAAAAACGAGATGCTCATGGCTGTGTTTGTCAGCATAGTGCACAGTCACTGAATACGAACCTTATTTGGCGCTCTCATGGACTGTGGGGGAGAACCATCTGTCAACATTTGGCCCTTTCCTTCACAGTTTCAATCCAACAGCAACAAATTGTATTTCAGGAACAACACCAGTTGATACTTTTTCTGGCGGAGGTGTCCTGCCTGACTGCAAGGTCAAAATGTGATGATTGTGGATGCTTCACATTGCACGTTGTCGGATGGGAAAATGACAAAAGGGAGTCCTCGATGACAAAAGGGGGGTCCTCTACGTGGGTGCGAATGACAAAAGGGGGTCTTCTGACCGCCCCCTGCACATTAGACGTGTTGCTAGACCAGCGCCAGATTGGTGCTGGTGTGCAACCCGGTCCTACTAGGGGCGACTCCGCAGAGGACCCCCTTTTGTCAATTTTCCTCTTGGGGGGTGTTGTGGGGTTTGTGTCTTCGCGATGCCATTTAAACGACTACCCCTGCTCTTGGTGTATCATTTAAATGCAATTGGTATCCGTTAGAATACGTGAATCATTATGAGCAATGACCTGATTGTTGCCACTTCAAAAGTCATGCAACAACGGATTCCGATGCGAAATCTGAAGAGATGGATTGTAAGCCTAAGCACTTCATTCTTTCAAAATCGTTAGCTTCTCTTGACGTTTAGCTCATTCTGGGCATATCAGAAACATACATGCTCACCTGCATATGACACAAAGGGGTGAGCGTTGCATGAGTCTCTGATCATGTGCCCAAGATATAAAGTCGATTTGCATTGGATCTGTATGCACGCAGCAAGTTGGCTGCATATTATTTTGATATCACAAGACAGTACTTTGAGTTTTTTGGTGAGTTTCTTGCCACAAGTGATGATCGGGACGTAATTATCGCTCAGCACATGGGTCAGGACTCCTGACTCAGGAGGTTAAAGAATTGTTTGAGGACAATCGCTATTTGTGATTGATGGGCTATGGGCAAGGTCGTTGGTGATGGATTGTAATTGAAAGAGGTGCATGCAACATATTGTTTTCTGGCAAGATCGGACTTGGCAGGCCTGACAACTCCAAAAATGGCAACCTGGCCATATTTTGCATTGTGTTTTTTCACAACTCAGTGGTGAAAAACGTCATTATGGCATTGTTTCTGCGCTCAGGGTTCATTTTTTCCAACTGCATGCTGCCAAGGACTTCGCTTTACAAAAGAGCTCTAAGAGTGATTTTACCAAATCAACGCGTTAGAGGTGTCCTGCACCTGCCAAAGCTTCTGCTTTGTAGACTTCAGCCTTCAGAAAGCCCACAGATAAACAGAACATTCAAACCACGAGAATCACACCAGAATCACACGGCCAGCATCTCCGATCGCCGCTTGCTCTCCCCACAGCACCGATCGCCGCTTGCTCTCGCTCGCAGCTCCGATCTCCTGGACTCCCCTTCACACTCCGGTCGCCATGGCGCCCTCCTAGAGGGGCCGTCCCAGTAGGAACGCGGTGCAGTCCGGCGCCAGACCGGCACCGGTTTGGCGCCGGTCTGGCAAAGTGTCTAACGTACAGGGGGCGCTTAGAGGACCCCCTTTTGTCAAGGCATCTCAGAGGACCCCCTTTTGTCATTCTCCCTTGTTGCATTAGCTTCATTGCTTGTGCCGGGCATGTTACTCGGCACCTGCTGCGTGGAACACAACGTCCCCCCGCTGAGTTTGCCCGCTGCCTTTTATGACTGACGCACCATCCTGTCCTGCGTCGAGGCTGCTGGATTCGTAGAGGAGATGACGCCCTTGCTGGCAGACCTCCGGTCGGGCGGGCTGGTCGGCAATGTGGAGGCGCTGACGAAGTCTGTGGCCGAGGCCGCGAGCGACATTCAGCTGCTCCAGAAGGCGGTGCTGGACGACGAGAACATTGGCGCTATTCGTGGGGCCGTGAAGACCCTCACGCAGACCCTCCAGAACGTTGAGGTCCGTGCAGCTACGGCTCTGGCTTGGTGGTATTTGGCCTTGTGTTCGAGAGGAGAGCATGCCATGCAGTGAGCGTGCTATTCCTGATTGATGTCCAAGTGCTACATGCGCCACACGCTGGTCAGTGTTGGTGGCTGGAACAAGATAACGGTTGCTTCCAATTTGCCGTAGCCGGTTGTGCGTTTTGCTTGCGATGTTGGAATAAGTGCAGGACCGTCCACTGGTCGCTAACTGCTGGTTTGCATGTGTGTCAGAGCATCGCTGGAGATATGAGCGTGTTCACTGGAGACTCGAAGGTCATGGGCAACCTGAAGCGCCTCATTGGGGCGCTTAGCCGCATTGTTGAGGAATGAATGGACAACAGGGAACCTCTGCGCTTCTGCTGGACCTTCTTTTCAGAATCCATGAACCTTGCAAGTTCAATTATTTGGTTCGCGGGTTGTTGTACAGCAGCTGAAACGACTAAAGGGCAATCTGTGTAATACGAACTGGTTGGCAGGACCAGGTGTGCTGCAGCCAGTTGGGCCCTGGTGCCCAGCTGCGCATAACACCCCATCGTTGGACATCTCATTTTATTGTCTGCTTCGTTGCTTCTGGGCATGCAGTGCACTCTTTTGGAGGGCACCACAGCACAGCCTACAACAAGACATCGCTGGACGATTCATGTTTCTGAAG